TAAATTATGCTTTCATAAGCATCCTTGTAAACCAGTTTTTATTTTTTGTTTTGAAATTATAGTTAAAACTTTAAATTTGATGTTATTGTTTATTTTGTTTATTATTAACAAATTCTTAGTTAACTTTGTGAAAGTCAAGAGAACTGATCAAAGGTTGTATGTGTGCTTGGAGAGCTGGGAAAACAACCTCAGAAAAGATTTCTTTTAAAATATTTAACTATTTGTTGTTAACATGGAACTATATAAACAGGAATATCATCAACTTGTAAGTCATATAACAGTTATTTAACAAATATATTTTAAAGGGCATATTTCTGCTTTATGAAATTATTTTCTTTTTTTCTTCTTAGATTTTAGTTGGGAATATCTAAATGGATCCAAATTATGTTAAACTGATTATATGTGTATCGAGTGTTTTTTAAAATTAGTTTGTGAAATCTCAGTATGTTTTCCTTATTTGTATTACTTTTTAAATAATTAAGACTCAAGAATCAGCCACTGGAATTCGTCAACTCTCTCTCTCTGAATGGAGACTGTGGCAAGATCATCCTTTACCTACATATCAAGTTGATCACTCAGATCGATGCCGCCATTTTATAGGCCTTATGCAAATGATAGAGGGAATGAGACACGAAGAGGTAAGGTTTTATTATAACTTTTTCTTGCTGGTATGATAGTAAAACTAGAGTACTTATCTTTTATTTTCGTTAATTTGAAGTAGTAAGAAATATTTTGTTTTTCTGTATAGTTCCTTGTGATCTCAATAAGGAATGAGTTTTCTGCCTTAAGAGGAGAAATAGATTTAATTAATTAGAAGAAGAATGTCATCTGTAAATATTGATGGACCAGAGTAGAATTTTAATATACTTAAATGATTTGTGTAAACTGCTTGTAAAGCTACTTTAGGATTCTTTTGGATTTGGATTTATTGAAATACTCTCTATCATCTAGGTTATTTGATATCTTTCTTGTATCCTGGTCCTAGTTTAGAGAATTATAGATTCCTTGAGCAGTTCCTTGATTATTCTTCCTAGGGTCAGCATAGTGAACCAATTATGAGTGTGAAATCCATAGTGCCTGGGTTAGAATCCTAACTCTGCCTCCTACTGATTGTGTGTTTATAAGTTATTTAATCTCTCAGTGTTTCAGTTTTATCAGTAAAATAGAGATAGTGATAATACTTATTTCATAAGGTTGTTGTGAGGATTAAATGACCTAATATATGTAAAGCACATAGTAACTGGCATATAATAAGTACACAGTAAATTGTAGCTCCTATTTTTATTATTAGCGTTTGGTCATGCATACATGTAAATAAAGTAGTTATATGTGGATCCCAGCAAAATGTGTGCAATCAAATTAACATATATTTATTGAGTGCCTTCTGTGTGCCACACTCTGTTACCTGCTTTATGGCTATAACCGTGAGCAAACGAGAGAAAATATTCTGTTTATGTGGAGTATATATACTAGCAGGGAGACAGACATTTGCTCACATTAATGCTTGTTATATTTATTATTCAAAAAAGCAGAGAGGGCTGGTCTTGGTAACTCAGGCCTGTAATCTCAGCCCTTGGGGATGCCGAGGCGGGCGGATCACTTGAAGTCAGGAGTTTGAGACCAGCCTGGCCAACATGATGAAACCCTGTCTGTACTAAAAATACAAAAATTAGGTGGGTGTGGTGGCACATGCCTGTAATCCCAGCTACTCAGAAGGCTGAGGCAGGGGAGTCACTTGACCCCGGGAAGCAGAGGCTGCAGTGAGCTGAGATCAAGTTACTGCACTCCAGCCTGGGCGACAGAG